ACAGAGCCAGCCAGAGAAGCACGGCTGTGATTGGTTGTTTTTGCTGCCAGTCAAGAAATGACGCTTCGTGATTGGTCAGCACCCGACAGCGCAACATGTCCCGAAACATCAGCCGTTAGCTGTTAGCACACAGAGCTCACAGCTCCTCATATCTGTTCAGAAACTGGACAAAGGTTAAACAAGTACAAACCACAGACTGTCTATGTCATGGTGAATACAGTCGCTGCTTTATTTATGTCTGTATGCCATTGTTGTGAGTTTGGACGGAGCAGCTACAGCTTAGTTTATCCTGATCGATCCGATCTCCATTCAGAAAACACGCATTTTAAAATGTTTTTCGCCTGCCGTCTTGTCTGCAGACTTGTCACAGCATTAGGGTTTCATGGTTTTTACTAACAGGTATCAGTATGTTGTTACTTCGGCATCATTTTGAAACGTGTATTACAATTAAATCACGGTAAAATATGTTTATTTTGGTGCTGACCAATCACGAAGCGTAATTTCTTGACTGGCAGCAAAAACAACCAATCACAGCAGTGCTTCTCTGGCTGGCTCTGTCCAATCACAAACAAGAAGTGTTCTCCCTAAAGGAATACCCTTTCCGTATAAGTTGAAATGCTGTGGTGTTTTCTGAAATCCTGTGGTGTTTTGTGAAATGCTGTAGCGTTTTCTGAAATGCTGTATTGTTTTCTGAAATGCTGTGGTGTTTTGTGAAATGCTGTGGTGTTTTCTGAAATGCTGTGGTGTTTTCTGAAATGCTGTGGTGTTTTCTGAAATGCTGTGGTGTTTTGTGAAATGCTGTGGTGTTTTCTGAAATGCTGTGGTGTTTTCTGAAATGCTGTAGCGTTTTCTGAAATGCTGTAGCGTTTTCTGAAATGCTGTATTGTTTTCTGAAATGCTGTATTGTTTTCTGAAATGCTGTGGTGTTTTCTGAAATGCTGTAGCGTTTTCTGAAATGCTGTAGCGTTTTCTGAAATGCTGTATTGTTTTCTGAAATGCTGTATTGTTTTCTGAAATGCTGTATTGTTTTCTGAAATGCTGTGGTGTTTTCTGAAATGCTGTAGCGTTTTCTAAAATGCTGTAGTGTTTTGTGAAATGCTGTGGTGTTTCCTGAAATGCTGTTGTGTTTTCTGAAATGCTGTTTTGACTTGCACTTCAGGGCCACCGTAATATATATATATATATTATATTATATTTATTTTCATCGGAATAACGTAGGTGAACATGGATCATGTGCCCGCTGTGGACCGAATGCATTGCATCTTAAATGATGTATTCTCCAGTTGTGGAGGTGGGCTGCCTTTTGCTCTGCTAGGGTCATGACACAGCAAAGAAAAAGCTATCAATGGTGGACATTGATAGCAAGAGACTTTTCTCGGTTCTCTACAAAAAGCTTCCAACTTTTGTTGGAATTAAAGAGGACATGTCATGCTCGTACATTCATATTTGTATTTTTTCCTCTACTGTGACATGCTTTAATGTTCAAAAAGCTCTTTATTTTTCTCATACTGCCTGTGCTGCAGCACCTCTTTTCACCCTCTGTCTGAAACCAGAGCCCAGTCTGCTCTGATTGGATAGCTGGCCGTCTCTGCTGTGATTGGTCAACCTGCTTAGAGATGTCCCGCCCCATAGCCTTGACAATGTGTTTGAGCGTGTGACATAGTGATGTCACTGTCGCCAGGGGCGGATCTACCGGGGTGGCATGCGGTGGCAACTGCCACCCTAAAAAATAGCCTTGCAACCCCAGCTGCCACCCCAGTTGGCATCTTTGTTTTGAAAGAAAAGTTGTGGCTCATCGGACATTTATGAGAGAAAATATCTAATGTCCGAGTGCAAGTGAATGCAGCACAAGACGCGAGTCTTGAAACCCCTCCCCCGGCCCTGGTGTGAGCGTGGAAATATGATTGGCGGCGATTTCATTTGAACGGGGGACGGCGCAAAACGAGAAGCATTCGGACTCAAGTAGACGGAAGGAATGAGGTATTTGCGGTCTACAATGACAGAGAAGAGACTGTCAAGTTTGGCTGTACTGATAGACATGCCAACTTGATGCTCTGCTCACGGATGACTCGTGAGCATAAAAAACTGTTAAGAGATGATGACCTTGTATGTGTGTATATATTTGTTTTCTTAGTGGGAGTCTGCCCCCAAAAAACAGTTTTAAGTCCTGAGAAAGTCAAATAAGACGGTGTGTAAAACTACACTGCCCAGCCAAAAAAAAGTAACCACTTTGATTTGCCCACTGGGCCAGTAGGTAAGGACTTTCCACTGGATAATAACTTACTGCAGCGATGTATATGTTTTAGCTGAATACACGTTTTTTTTATAACCCTAACTGATGCAGTTAGTCACTTCTTTAATGTTTGTTCTTTCTGATGTAAAGTCAAGGTTGTAACTGTTTGCAGTAAAGTTGTGGGGTGCTGAACTGTTTGTTTGAATCTTTTGAATTTTGATACGTGATATAATTAATTACTTGTCTTTCAAATTTGAAGGAGGGGGAACATTCATCATTAACTCCTCCAAAAAATATAGTTTATTCAATAATAAATGAATATGTGAATCATAACAGTGATTGACAGCTGATAGGAATAATATGATTGTTAATAGTATCATATTCATACAGACAAACATTGATGAGACAGTTAATTAATGTACTTATTGCAGCAGTCTTCATAGATGTGGTACCCCTGCTGGTCTAAGAGTGAAACAAACTCATTCAGTTATTGTTCAGTTAAAACTCATTAAATTATGTCTGCCACCTTATATATTTCTATTTAAGGCTTTAATGATGTGCCACAATAATGTCACCTAATGTTATTGAGTTAAAATATTCATATTGTGGCTTTCCAAGTTAACATTGATTGATATGACTGCGATTAAATCAGCATATACTTCTGCCAGGGGATGCCACCCCTCAAAATCTCCTGCCACTCTCTTGCCACCCCATGAATATTTGTCTAGATCCGCCCCTGACTGTCGCAGAAGTAAACAAAGGAGTTCAATGGAGGCTTTTCAGGCAGGGGGGTGAGAGAAACTCCCTCTGGAGGGAACCCGGGATTCTAGCCTTTGCAGACCATTTACATGCACAGACACCTATATAACACACTCCACGAAAGGGTAAAGCACAAAATACTAATATGAACCTGAAAAGTAGCATAATTTGGCCTCTTTAATTCCAACAAAGCAACAGAACTTGAAATGAGCCTCAAACAGTTGATAGAAGAATAAGTAAATATTTAAAAGAAAACTATAGTCCATTGTAAAGTCCACTTGTTAGCTTTGAGGACTAGCCCTGATGGACTATATATATATGATGAAGTGTTATTTGGCCCGAAATGTCTCTTGTTTTCAGCTGAACATTCCACAGGCAATAAACGTTTCTGAAAGCTTTAACAAAACAGAACATAGTCTGATGTGAGCAGGTGTGAGCAGCGTTAAAGTCTATCAGAATGCAGAGCAGTTGCCAAAAATGAAAAGCATTGTTTAACTCGACACAGACCACTCAAACAGGACAAACAAATCCTGTTGACAAGGTGTAAGTGAGAGGGGTCATCAGCCAAATACAAAACGGAACGCAATAAACATAATGGGTGTATTTTAGCGTTGTTAGAATTATGTTTCCATGGACTGAAAGCATTATGCAGCTGGTGGCTCGTGAAATGCCAGACCTGTCCCCCGGCTTTTGTTTGAAATATGGCAGTAACCAATATCCAAGCAGGAGAGAGGACCTGAATATGTTGCAATGATTTAGTGCATGTGCTTTTATGGAACACGCCCGGAGGTAATAATCCACTGAGTAGCCTCTTGTCGGTCTCAGTTAGCGAGCATGCCAAGTCCTAAATGCAAACTTTTAGCCTTCATTTTATATTCATTCCAACCGAGAGATATTCATAGCACCTTACTAATAAGTCCTTCATACCACAACATGATTATCTCATCCAGGTCTGTGAAAAGGGTACTGTGAAATAAATAATCACCCTGTAAAACGTACATAACTTTTATGTAAGTTTCCAAACAATTACTAAAAGGTTAATACATGGAAATGGTTATGCTCACTCTGCAATATGTGGAGAGGCAGGATGATGGTTTAGATTTGGAAATTATAAATTGCCACAAGATATTAAAAGGTCAATTTGATAGTATTTTTTGTATTTTATAGTATTTTATAAAGGCCAATGGTAACCACACACTATCAACCAATTTCCTTTTCTGTGTTACAATGTCAGTCATGTAACCCTAACCCTAACTGCCCACTTGCCACTTTCCGGTAAAACAAAAAAAAGAATCTGCGCCAAGCGGCAAAATAATTGTTTTAGGATTTCTAAAAGCTGGTGTGGAGTGTATTGCATGTTTAACAACAACAAATATCCAGAATTATGTTTTTAATTACTTCCTTACTTCTAAAAAAAAGGAAAGTAGAAGAGATATGAGGCCATCCACAGAGAGGACGAAAAGCATAAACAATGGACCCCGGTCGGTCAATACCCGTTCGTCTGTTGGACTTCCTCTCAGCTAAATGATGATGCTAATGAGGTTAACGTCCATCATCACAGTAAACCCCAGTTTAAGCCTACTGCCTGCCACTTGTCCAACATCAGAATGAGAGGACATTTATCCCGTATTGATTTTGATTTCACTATATATAAATGTGGATCAGCGATCTCCAATGACATTGCGTAATTGATTGCTAGACGGACCATCATATTTTGGCTCCTTGCAGCACGATATCCTTAATTTTTTGATTGTATTGGTGTGGACCTCAGAATTATTGATGAGTTGAAGTTTGAAGATATTTGTGGATAATGCAATTGTTATTTTCTTGATGTAAATGTTCTACCTGTGCAGCAGGTGCAACAGGATGAATCCACTCTGCTCGCTGGCAGTCATTCACACATCTGAGCTACCTTCATTTCAAATTCAGTTTTTGGATAAGGAGGTGCTGCTAACAAGTGCAAAGAGGCTTGTTTTGATATGCCACCTCTTCATCTTCCTTTCCTCAGATCAATGCTGCTGACTGGGGACAAGCTGAAACGACATATAACCTCTATGAGGTTCTTTTCAAGGTTCACAAGGTATGTAAAGAGCACTTCAGCTTTCATCTAAGTATAGATGGCTGATTTCTGTCTTTTATATCAGATAAAATGTTTTTTAAGGAGGCCTATTAAACAGGGCTCTCTATAGAGTGGTGCAGGGATGACGTATTTATCCGGAGGTAAGCTGCGCATGGGTTCCCTCGACAAAAAAGCAATGAGATTTCTCCATAGGATTTTGGAAAATAGCTCGAATTAAGGTCTGTGGAAAACGAACCTGTTAGATAAATGCACGTTTTGTTCAGCCGGATAATTTCCACATGTCTACCCTACTTTTATAATTTTCTTATCATAAATCTAATCGCAAGAAGCAAAATGCTAACGTTATGCTATAAACAAACTACAGCAGGGTCGCACGACTTCACCGTCACGCCAACATAAGATCGATATTAAAAAATACAGATTCAAAATTGTACAAGTTGAAGCGTTTGTTTTAACAGTTTTCAAGAGCGCAGGTACTTGCTTTCAAGCTGAACAGGACAAACAAACTTAGCGGGAGTGTTTACGTGTTCGGTGTAATGACGTACAACGTCCTCGACAACTTCTGTAGTCCTATTCAGCCACTTGTTAACAACCATCGTTTTTCACGTAAACTCTTCAAAAATCACCAGTGGGGTCACTGCTGATGTATTTAATGTCGTAGAACAAAACGTGATCCGTCTCTTAAATTTGTGTCAACCACAGACCTTATTTCCAGCTATTTTTCAAATTCCTATGGAGAAATCCCATTGATTCTGAGACGAGGAAACCAGTAGTGGTAAAATGCTAACTCACTTCCGGGTTTTAGGACTCATCACTGCACCACTCTATTCCTGAGGTAATAGAGTGATGCATTGAAGAAAATATGTGTAAGCTGACCCGCAAGTTAGCATCACAAGGGCTCCAACGACAAAAAAACAATTGGAATTTTCCATTGGATTTCGGGATATTAAGGATAAGTAAGACCTGTGGACAACAACAAAAAAGTACAAAATTGTATGATACTTGCATGTGTGTTCAGCTAACTTGTATGCTTAAAGCTAACGTTAGGCTATAAACAAATGAATGACGGTCACATGCCTGCAAATCACCACTGCTGCGCTAAAGGCTGCTATAGGCGTAATTATGAAGGTAGATATGGTGCAAAATGCGAGAGCGTGTAAAACCTGATGTGAGCACTTACAGAAAAAAAATCTGAGCTTGTGTGCATACATTTACACTTGTATAAAATATCCACCTATCTCTGAACCAAATTTGAAGTCACAGAAGAAAAAAAAAAGTGTTGTAGCTTGTAGAAAAATAATGAACTTAGTGATGAAATGTTCACTTGCAGAAAAATATATTTTTTTTAAATATATTTTCCACTACAACTGCAACTTGGTTATTACAACCTCTCAAATCAGTCATTTCAACTTCACGAATCTGCTCTGTGGCAAAAGTCAAGGCTACAGTATAAATCGACGAATCACAGTAGCCTTGACTTTTGCTACACTTCTTGCGATGAATGTGTCGCTAAAGTAATTTTCACCTGTAGATGTGGGGGGAGGAACATGGGGAGAAAGGGGGGTTGAAGCGAAGGGGCGGAGCTATCAGAACGAGGAGGCGCAAGCTCGGGTCAGTCACACAGCCATGCCAGGTCGAACCGGATGACTGCGGGGCCCCGCATGTTGCCCCTTTCACACCAACGCGGTTCCAGGGCCGGTTCGGAGCTTGTGCCTGATAAGCACCGGTTTTTCCTGTTCACGCCGCAGCGGAGCCGGCTCTTTTCCCCGAAAACCGGTTCTTACCAAGCTCGAAAAAAGTGTCAGTCTAGAGGCATACGTCACGCTTACGTTGGAGCGGAGCGAGATTAACCTGAACTAACAGTTTATGGAGAGTATGGCAAATAAAAGTTGAAACAAGCAGAAGCGCTGAGCAAAGTGATTAGAACACAACCACACACTTTATAAAGTCAGGCAACACTAACCAGTAACCAGGCTTCGTGTGATTTTGTTTATTTGTACCTTACTTTGACCATCCGTTCGCTGTTATTGATCATTGTGGAGGGGGCAGACGTTTTGTTTTGTATTATAGCAGCTATCAAATGGAATCAATACATGGGCTGTACAGGTTGTCATGTCCGACTATCACAAGTAGAATCATAATGAAAAATATGCCGGTAAAATGTGCCTGTAGAAAACGGCTTAGGCCTATGCCACAAGTTAAAGCAACAAGTGGCCTAGTCAATATAGTCAGTTTAGCTTCGGTTGCTATGCTAACATCACCCATTTTATACCAGAGAAACTTTAATAACAGCGTTGTGATGCCAAACAGCGTCAATTCAGACTGACACACATTCACTTATGGGGAATTGGGGATATTTATCAGCTGCTTGTGTGACAGTTAGACAGTGAATACTTTACAGCGGTCGGTGCATGCCGCTGTAACACATTAATAAACAATGAACCACGGCACTCTGGAGAAAAGTATAAGGTTGGAGAAGTCGTTATTTAATTTAATCTGGCTTCATATGATTAAAACACGATCATCGACCCGACGCAGTCCCCCATTGTTGTTGTTGTGAGCGAAGCACGGAGCTAGAACGGGAGCTGCGTGTGAAAGGGGCAACAGTAGTCACTTGTGTGTGACTGACCCGAGCTTGCGCCTCCTCGTTCTGATAGCTCCGCCCCTTTGCTCCAACCCCCCTCCCTCCCCCCACATCTACAGGTGAAAATTACTTTAGCGACACATTCATCGCAAGAAGTGTAGCAAAAGTCAAGGCCGCAGATTTGTCGATTTATACTGCCACAGAGCAGATTTGTGAAGTTGTAATGACTGATTTGAGAGGTTGTAATTACCAAGTTGCAGTTGTAATGGAAAATATATTTTAAAAAATATTCTTTTTCTGCAAGTGAACATTTCATCACTAAGTTCATTTTTTTTCTACAAGCTACAAAACTTATTTTTTTCTTCTGTGACTTCAAATTTGGTTCACAGATACGTGGATATTTTATACAAGTGTAAATGTATGCACACATGCTCAGATTTTTTTCTGCAAGTGCTCACATCAGGTTTTATAAGCTCTCGCATTTTGCACCATATCTACCTTCATAGTAATGACCTTTGGTAGTCAAATTGGGCCATTTTTTTGCAATAATTGTTTTCAACACACATAGAAGCTTTGTCACATTTATCAGTTGGGTATTTACTGACATATTTTTATGTCAGAGAACAAAACTTGAAAAATTCTTAAGCTTTAGATGGCCACAGATCTTGTTTCAGTCATCTAACCAAAAACACGTTCCAAGAAACATTGACTTTGAGGGAACGTAAAATGCTAACTTATCTCTGGGTTTTGGGACTTATTCCTGCACCACTCATGATCTACCAACCAAGATATAAAATTATAAAAATATATACATAAACCAGTATAATCTATTTTTCAGAGAAGGAAGGAAATGAATCTTCACCCTACCACAAGTACGCAAAAAAAAAAATGAAGAGATAGCAAAATTGTTGCCCCAACATGTAATTATTAAAATGTTGTGTTGTAGCTGTGGATGGCCGAGGACTGCTGGCTCCAGGCGAGGCTCTACCTGGGGCTGGAGCACTCCCCGGAGCAGCAGGACGGAGAGTCTCTGTGCTTTAGCATTCTGGTCGGCCACGGACAGAGCCATACCTTCAGGGTGGAGCTGGCCTCGGACCTGGCTATCTGGGAGAAGTCCTTCCAAAGAGCTGTCTTCTTGGAGGTGCAGAGAATACGAGTGAGTATTTCCATATTACATGTCAAATCTTTTTGTTGACCTGTTTTTTTTTCTTTCTTACATTTGTTGAATTTTACTCAAATGAAACTAGTTCTCCAATCAATAAATCTTCTGCACCTTTTCACATTTGAAGTTTGTTGGATTGGTGTGCCTTTGTATGGTACAAATTACAAAAAAACTGTACACAATAGATTGCAGATCTCCCCAATGTGTGTATTAAATGAGCAGAGATGTGATGTTTAAGTGAATAAAGCCAGACAGCAATTTTATTATGGAATATGGAAATGGAGGATTTAAAATAATTTTTTATTAGTCACACACACTGCACACAAGGGCACTGGTACCTCTTAACCTATCCGTCCATGCTTGGTCGGCTGGGGACTTGAGCCAGCTACCCTTTGGTTCCCAAGCCAAGTCAGTTAGGACTGAGCTTCCTAGAGGGGTTGCAACACCTGATCATTTGGAGTCAACGGAGCAAGCCCTTTATATTTTTCATGTTGACACATTAGATATTAAACTGATAAAAACAGATACATCTGTTAAACAGATATAACACCATTACCTTGGTGTCCAAATAAACAAAAGAAAAAGGGTACATTTGCTTCAAATAAGGCAAACTGTGGAATACTCAATAGAGTGCTGCAGGAATGAGTGCTAAACCTGGAAATGAGTTAGCATAACTACTTTCGGTTTACTCGTCTGGAATGAAAAGTTTTTTGAACATGTTTTTGGTTAGTTGCCTAAAATAAGGCCGCTGTTCAGCTTGTTCTTTATTTTTCAACAGTGAAATATTTTTTAAATGTATATTAAGCTGTATTACCGTGCCAATTGTGGTGAGCAGTGAGGGCATATGTTATCCCTGAGAGTTTGAGGCTGCACTTCATATATAAAGTGGATGAGGGCCGAATACTAAAATATCGGCTGAGATAATGGAGAAACCTTTTTTTTGTGTAACAATGAATGTGTTTTTAGACAGATGGTCCCCAGAGCATTTACTGTATAAAGACTGTGTGACATTGAGAGTAGAGATATGTTTTTGATGTAAAAACAGAGGTTATTTGACATTCTTAATGAGTATTTTTACCACACCTGCGGTTTGTTTTTTCTAAAAGGTGGAAGAAATACTGCGTTTTTTATTTTAAGAGGTCCTATTATGCTTTTTCGCATTGTTCCCTTTCCTGTATTGTGTTAAAAAGGTTTTATGGTCGGCAAAGGCTAAAATATAACCATTGCGATTCTGTTGGCTAGCACTCCAGCACATTTTACATGATAGGTAAAGGGGCAGGACATTTCTGACACATCTCTAAGTGGTTGACTAATTTTGATTTGATTTGATTTGACTTATTTCGAACTTGTAAAACAATAATATAAAAAATAATAAAAAATGAAAATGAATTATGATACTGTACAAACTTAAGCGGTATCAGATTGATAAACAACAATATTATTGACTTACAAATTATATATAAACAAATTATCTACCTAATTACACATCGGAAAAGGGGTGGGAAGAAGTTTTTTCAGAGCCGGCCAGCTAGCCAATCAGAGCAGACTAGGCTCTGGTTTCAGAAGAAAAAGAAGCAGATTGGATATTAAAAAAAATAGTTATGTTGCTCATAGCCTTTTATTTATCATTGATTAACATTTCTTCTGAATAATAGTGTTGCTTACACTCTAGTTAACTAAGTGTTCTTTTTTTTTTAAGAAATCATTCTAATCCTATAACTCTAATCACTACTGCCGCTTCATACCAATTTAACGCTTCATCAGGGGGAGGTGATTGCATGTGAAGCAAAGTCTTTATATCCATCGATTCTTTGTGCTTTCAATTTCTTATTAAGAAATAAATTGAATTTAAAATTGAAAGCTAGGCAACGCTGTTTTCCATAAATGTTTTGTTACTTTCAATGTATTTAACCTAAATAATTAGTCCTCACATCAATGAGCCATTAAATTGCCTCTTACGAAAATATGTTTAAAGTGTAAAGGCAATCATCTCATGTGGAGAGTGCATTGTTAAGCAGTTCTCTAACTGTCCATCAAAAGGCTAGAACTCTAAGGAATATCACAGTCCTGGCCTTATTTTTCTTGGTGTTGGGGCTACTTATAATTTTGTAACATTTAATAGTAACAATTAAATAATTATATTAAAATATATAGTCGCTTGGTATTTTCCATTATTTGAGGTACTTTAAGTAGTTGTTCATGCTTTTATTTTGAAGGCTGCCTCAGGCACCGGGTGATTTAGGTATTTATTGGAGACAGTTGAAGGTGGGATTTGGCACAAAACATATTATTTTGTCGTATTCATGATTGGAAAGGGAGACATTCAACTGAAACAGACGAAATTCTGGACCATTTATTTTATCCTGTGTAAGATTCACTACCTGGTGATTTTGTGTTTGTTTTGTTTGATTTTTGTTTAACGACAAATAGCGGCTACACTGGGTTTTGCACCTTTTAAAAAAGAATCTCTTTTCTCACAGCACTATGAGAAATGTACTCACCATTTACTGTCCACCACTCCGCCAAACACAGCACTTTGCACTGCAGTTCTAAAAGCCTGCATTCAATTTTGAGGATGCTTGATACCTGTGTGTAAAGTGCTATAGAGTGGTGCATAGATTTGTGTATGAATTTAGCAAAGGTTTCCTCAACCAAAAGCAACAGGATTTTGGAATATTTTGGTTTAGTTGTCTCATTTAGTTACTTTTTAGCAATCGCTGTTTGTTTAATGCTTAGAAGCTTTGGACATTCACCAGTGGAGTATTTACTGACGTATTTTATGTCAAAGAACAAAACGGTGGGTTACGTATTGTAACCCTAGTTATATAAGCACAGGCGGAGCCCTCTACTGGACTCTATGGGTACTGCCCTTGACCTTACTATGCGAGTGTTCACCTACTGAGAAATCTATAAACGTAGCGGGCCCCCGGGGGCGGGCCTACCTGAGTGCACGCGCAGGCCCACAGTATATAAGGCGGCCACGCCTCCCGACTGTGATCCTACACCCTCTTCAGCAAGCAGCATAGGACAGACAGGGCCCCTAGTAGAGGGCTCCGCCTGTGCTTATATTACTAGGGTTACAATACGTAACCCACCGTTATATCTCACACAGGCTCCGCCCTCTACTGGACTCTATGGGTACAGTGGGTGGAGCCCTGATGGATACACGCCCTGTCGTCCAACCACCCATCACACTGCCCCTGACCGGCTTTTTGGTTAACAGCCATCAGCCACTTGGCTGATAGAGCACACCCAGACACGCTTACCTCGCGAAGGGTGTGCATGGAGAATAGTGAAGAAGGCTCCAGCCCTGTAGGGGGCTCACTGCGCATCATGTTTCTCGGGTCCCTAAGGAGCATGGGAAACCATAAGTGCATTATGTCCAGGGAGTGGGGGGGGGTCAGACATCTACTGACCCACAGTCCTGTGTTGCCCCAGCAAGCACAGACGATGAGAAGGAGCCAGACATGTCCAAGAGATAAAACTTTATGAAGGGGCCTGGCATGGACCAAGACGCCGCCGTGCATATGTCCTCCACACTCACGCCGTTAAATAAGGCTGTTGACACAGCCATACCCCGTGTAGAGTGTGCACGGACCCCCATGGGGAAGGCTCTCCCCGCCTGACTGCAGGCATGTACAATGCACTCGCAGAGCCCTCCTGCCAGGCGTTTCTTGGACAGAGCTTTACCGGCCACACCCCCCCCGAAGCACACAAACAGCTGTTCAGTGCGCCTAATGGCAGCCGTGCGCTCCACATAACATGCTAACGCACGCACCGGGCAGAGGAGGTGCAGTTTAGCCTCCCTGTCCCCAATATGGGGTGGAAGACTAAAGTTGCCCTGCTGTATAGCCCTTGACCTGAACGAACTCCTTAAGCTCTTGGGAGCAAAGGAGGGGTTCGGTCTGAGTGTCGCCCCGCTACGGTCACCCCGGATCCACAGGCAACTCGGGTGCACCGGCAGAGCGGTCAGCTCGCACACTCTCTTGGCCGAAGTCAGGGCCAGCAGCAACGCTGTTTTTAATGACAGCGCCTTCAGGGAGGAGAGCTCCAGAGGCTCAAATGGTTCTGTGACCAGAGCCTCGAGCACCAACGGCAGGTCCCATTGCGGGGGGGAGGCGTGCACTACTGGGCGCTGCCTCCTGACCCCCTGCAAAAACCGTGACATAAGCGGCTGACTGAAGGCTGACCTGCCGCCAAATCCCTCATGACAGGATGAAATGGCTGCTGCATACACTTTAACTGTGGAATCAGCAAGCCCTCTGTCCACCAGTAAGTAAGTAGGACAGAATAGAGCCCAGTGTACAAGATAAGGGCTCTAGACTTCCCTCTTCACACCATCACTGGAATGCCAACCACTTTGGCCTGTAACAGGCTGTGGTGGATCCTGCTCTTGCTGCCTGGATAGTCTGGATAACTTCGTCAGACAATCCCCCCTGTATCAGCCTGTCCCTCTCAGGAGCCAAGCCTGGAGAGGTTGGCCCTGAGAGGGTAACGCCCCTATTGCACCAGCCCCCTGAGACATCGCCCCCCAGACCTGAGGAACTGCCCAGGGCTGGTCCACCATCATCTGTGTCACCTCCGCAAACCACGGCGCCACGCGGCGGTCTGGGGCCACTAGGATGACTGACAGATGTTCGTCTCACCCTCTCCAGGAGGGGGAGAATGAGGCGCAGCGGTGGAAAGGCGTAGAGCAGCTTTCTTGGCCATGGCTCGTGTGCAAACGCGTCCACCCCCAAGGGCGGAATGTCGGACTCCGCCCTGCCTGTTGATGTACGCCACTGTGGTGCGGTTGTCGAAAATATATTCAGCTTTCTTTACCCAACATGGTGAGATGTGTCACAGATTTTAGTATTTTGGTCTTCTGTCCATTGGACAACAAATGAATAGTGAAGCTAACCACTCATTATATTGAAAAGACATTTGGACAAAAAACTGGATACAGCGTTGGTGGTGGGGCCCCCTCTACTCCTACGGAAGTTGCTAAGTGGCGC